AGGGGGCGCTGTGCTGCAGGGAGCAGGGCAGGAGCTCAGTAGGGGGCGCTCTCCCCCCTCCATCAGCGCTGCCTGTAACAGCAGGATCATCAGCGCAGGGCAGGCGAACACAGCGGCAGATCAACCAACCCCACTTCCAGCACCGCAGCTTAGCAGAGACACATGAATTTGCCACAGCGGCAAAGACCAGGGGTCCGTCTAGCCCAGCGTCCTGTTGTTACACAGCTGCCTAGCGCAGGTCACATCCCCCCTCTGGTGGCTGGTCCGTACAGAGGATAACAGCCTGCTGCTGCTGCCGGCTAAGGAAGTGGTTCCGTTACATGAAGTAGTGAGGTCTGCATGGTGGAGCTAAACGACTCAAGACCCATTGACGACCCCGGGGTTGGGGTTGTTACACCATCCCCAGCAGCGGCCAGCACTGATTGCAGCAGATGAAGGTGTGACAGCTCCCCAAGTCCCTGTGATTCCCCAGGGTGGAGAGTTCTTCCTGACCCCCCGCTGCAGAGCAGTTCGTGCCGTGGAGCATGAGGATTGATGGCCCTTGTCACCTGTACTCCACAGGCTTTAATGGTGGGTGCTCTCCCAGTTCAGGTCCATGTCTAAGTCTCTTTGTCTCATCTTGCCTCCATAAAATCATGTGGCAGTGAGTTCTGCGGGTTAACTGCGTCCCAGGTGGGGACAGCAGACCTCTCCCCGCCCCACTGCAGACCGCCAGGCCACTCTTGCGCCGAGCTCTCGTCTCAGGCTGGGAACCGAACGCATTCCAAACAGAAACCCCGCAGAATCAATCCGCCAGCATCCCAAACGCCAGCACCGGGGGACGCTTTCCAAGGGCCCGGCCCCGCTGGGTTGGCGCTGGGGAGGTGAAGCGACACGGGGCGCGAGGGGGGACTTCCTCACTGCGATCTTGCTGTGTGCGTGCAGCTAATCCATGGTGGTAGAGAGAGAGAGAGAGAGAGACGAGCTCCTGGCACCTGGGGACTGGGACTAGAGTCCTTCATTCCCTCCCTACAGGTCCCCACTGCCTTCCCCTCACAGGGGACCCCCATGCTCCCAGGCCCCCTCTCTATGGACAGCCTGGCTCTGGCGGTGCTGCCCCTCCCTCTTAACTGGCCAGTACTGGGGGCGCTGCCTGGACCCGCTTCCTCCCCCCCCCCACAATGCCAGTGCCCTTCTCTGGAATCTCTCTGGGAGCTGCAGATCTCAGGGAAGCAGGAAATGGCCCAGACGGGACCTAGAGAGCTTAGCGAGCAGGAGGGACCAGGGAGAGAATGAACGGAGCAACCGGCATCATCTACAACCGGAATTCCTGGGAGGGGCCAAGCGCCCTCTGGCAGGTAGGGTCTCCACGGGCCAGGCCCAGACTGTGCTGGGGACGTGCTAATCATGAGGCACCTCACTCCCTCAGCCCCCGCTCCTGACTGGGCCCTGGGGGAGCTGCACCCGGGGAATGGGTGCTGAGGCAGCAGCAGGGCCGAAAGCCAATCTGCCCCCCCCCCCATCCCCACGCAGAGCAGGCCTGCGGCGTGGTGAAGAAGGGAACCAAATGGCAGGAGTTGTCCACAGGCTTTGAGCTGGGGCCCTTCTGCACTGGCTGCTCCCACAGGAGGAGCTCCAGGAAGTGGCAGCAGTAGTAGACCATTATCCTTGCTGTGCACCAGCTACGACCAGGGGACTCAGCACCTGCTCCAGCAGCCTGCGTCAGGGGCAGGCCGAGGGGAAAGATGGCCGAGGGGAATGTGCCCCCGCCCGCCCACTGGACACGTTCAGCACCGGTGCTGGGCTGGGCAAGCGGACGGGGCACGGGGGCTGCTGTCCCACACAGCAGCTCCCCCTCTCACCCAGACAAGTGCCTGTCACCTGGCAGGGGGCACAGGAGCTGGTGGCGGCCTGCCCCACGGTGCCTGTGGGTAGTGGGTGGAATGGGGCAGGGAGGAAAACCCCCGGGGTCTGCAGTGAAGGGTTCGCTTGGGTCCCCGGCCGATGCCCCCGGGTCCTTGTGCAAGAGGGGACGGGCCACAGCCCTGCCAGCCCAGGAGCTGCCCTCTGGGCCCAGGGCAGAACACTTAGCATTGGCTCATACGGTGCCCAGCGGGCACTAGGGCTTCCCAGCCAGCTAGCAAGGCCCAGTCCCTGCCAGGCCAGTCCCTAGGGAACCCCCTGCTTTAGCCTGGCAGCTGCTGGTGCCAGAGCCGGGCACTGTGCCCAGGGGAAGGCCTGGCCTGATTCGGTGCCTTGGGATCTGAGTCCCCCAGCGCAGAACCACTGGGTGCACGAGATCACCACCGACCTCCGCCCGGGGTCACCCTCTCCTGGGCACCTTTCCCAGCATGCACCATGTCTTCTCTGCCCCTGTCCCGAGGAGGGGCCCAGCCCCGCTCCTGCCAGGTTCCCGACACAGAGGCGAGGTCCAGGAGGCTGGTCTGCCACATGCCCCCCCACCCACCTGGCCACTGTCCAAAGCAGCAGCCATATAACGCCTGCCCGGCTGCCCACCTCTAACGCCCGTGACCCTGTCGCAGCATCTTTGTTTCCTGCAGCGGAGCCAAGAAGCAGGAAGATTCTTCTCTGCTCATCACAGGCCTGTAACAAGAGCCGCCTTGATCCAAACCCAGAGAAACCAGCTCAAACTTCTTATGATCCCTGAGCTGAAAACTCTCCAGGGCCTCACATTTGAATAGTGCCCAGCACAATTATTATTCTTTGCATTGTGAAGACGCGTTAGTTGCCCTTCCCCCCCACTCCGTACAAAAACCTGGGCTCACCCCAGGAAATTCACAGGCCGCTGGTTTAATACAAGCCAGAGGAAATACTTGTTCGCACTACGCACAGCTAACCTGTGGAACTCATTGCCAGGGGATGTTGTGATGGATTCAGAACAGAATTAGATAACAGGACAGGTCCATCAATGGCTGTTAGCCAAGATGGTCAGGGATGCAGCCCCATGCTTGGGGCGAGCCAAAAGCTCTGACTGCCAGAAGCAAGGGCGGGGGGGACGGACAACAGGGGTGGAGCTCTCAAATTTGCCCTGTTCTGTTCACACCCCTGAAACTAGACCAGGCCCTCGCGGTGCCAGGCGCTGTACAAACCCAGAACAAAAAGCCAGTCCCTGCTCCAAAGAGTTCACAATCCGATCCTAACTCGACTGGCCCATTTTCCGAGGAGCCGGCTGATCTGGAAAGGAATCAAGGCCTCCTGTATGGTTTGCGACGCAGCATCACGGCACAGGAGAGACGGGCTCCAGCGTCAGTGAGGTGGCCAAAGGTTGTTATTTGCACCAGCACGGTGCCACCCTGGTGATCTGGGGCCATTTCACGCTCCCGTTGCACAGGTGCAAACGCCAGCATGAGGGGCAAGGCACGGACGAGGCCGGCCTGGTAAGGGACAGGAACAAAGGGCCTTCTTCTGTTTGGTGTGTTTGTGCAGCGCCCAATGCGCTGGGGTCCCAATTCTGGGCACCACTGCAGCCCGGCTAGTTGGGGATCGATGGGGAAACTGAGGCACAGAGACGTTACGCGCCTTTGGAAATCAGCCCCCTAATTTAGC